CAAAATGTTAATTTGTTCATATTTGTTCCAGTTGGTTTTGCCTCCCACGCAAAGCAGGTGGTGTCCATGCAGGTGAAGCCACGGCGCAAAGAGCTCCCGCTGATTGAGGGTCAAGTCCCCAAAGACGCCGGTGTGGAGGGCATGCACCCAATCGATTTCAAAGCGTTTTGGGAGCAGAGCCTCTTCAAGTTTTTGTTAAGTATACAATAGTTAATTTATGTTCATTTGTTCCAGTCGCCTTTGCCGCAAGCCTGCAAGCCTTGGGTTCCAAGAGATTCTCTCATGATCTCTCATGTTATTTTAACCCATGGGAGGTACAGTATGTATGGCATTGGTTTTGCATTGGTTTTGCATTGGTTTTACATGTTTTGGTTTCACAAAATAAATAAAAATAATGCGGCTCTAGTGAGACCAAGCCCCAAGAATTTTAGAATTCTTTGGTGTGTCCAAGCTAGTCAAAGCTTAGGAATCAGCAAAATATGATTGTGGTCGACCTGCGCGGGCAAGATCGAGCAAGCGGAGCAATTCCAGGCACGGCACACATCCCGGCCATGGATTTGCTCAAAGAGATCGGGACGTACGTGGAGAAGTTTCGGCACCAGCCGATTGTGGCATTTTTTTGCCAATATTCGGCGCATAGGGCTCCGACGGTGGCTGGATGCATTTGTAGCATTTTTTAGCAATACACTGTTTCTGTTTTTGTTTTTGGATTGGTTTACCATGGTTGACCACCCTTCAAAAGCATTCAAAAGCGACATTTTCCGGAGGGGAAAACCAAAGCAACAAGGTCGCCAACTTCTTCAGAAAGAGCTGCCCGTCCAAGCAGCGCGTCGTGGTGCTTGAAGGAGGCTTCAGGGGATGGGAGGCCCATGACCTCCCTATCCAGCAGATGGAGACGACAATGTCTCAGATGGCGTGTGACCAGCTGGCCTTGAAGATTGGCCAGAATGTCTCGAAGGTCAACTGATGAGCTTTCATGACCAGCCACAGTCGAATACCTGCCCAATCATTGTCTATGGCAATCACAGTTGAATACCTGCAGTCAATTGCAGTCAGTATCACCCCTGGGTCGAGGCCAACATTGCTTCACCCACAAAACGCTGAAGCGCAGAGAACTGTAGAAAACAGAGTGGTCAGTCACGATTAGTCAAGGTTGGTCTGACATGGTGTCGAGTCTTTTTTTTGGTTCCTTGTGGCGTTGTGGCTGACGGCCATCACAAGCAGCGCGCCATTTTGAGACGAAAGCAGATTCCCGGCTGAGGTGGACATCTCTTTGCAATATCTACCGCTCCTCAGCCGAGTGCTTTCAGCTACCTGAGGCTCCAGGCGGGGCCACGGCACTCAGAGGTTTGCCTTGGTCGGGCTGGCTGGGTGGTTTGAAGATGTTTCAAATTTGTTGCATATTTGACATGTCAATCATTTGAAGGATATGATATGATTATGTGCTTAATTAATCAATATTTGCTTAGTAACAGAGGCACTGCCTGTTGCATCTGTTGCGCCCAGCCCAAAAGCAGCCAGGGTATAGCGATGTGCCATGATCGACTAGTGCATACTCATGACATCTCATGACGATGGTGGTGATGATGATGGTGACGACGATGATGATCCTTTCAGGTTTAAGACGGGTTTGGCATGTTTTGCCAAGTTGAGTCTGATGCCAAGTATGAACTGCTATGCGTATGTACCCATGATGATGATGATGATGATAGATGATAGATGATAGATGATAGATGATAGATGATAGATGATAGATGATAGATGATAGATGATAGATGATAGATGATAGATGATGATGACGATGACGATTGCGATTGCGATGACTTGCTATGATTTGCCGTTTTTTGCCAAGTAAAGTCTGACGCCAGGCAGCCTTGGCTTGGAGGCCTTACGTTTGGGACCTGAGGAAATGTCTGACTAAGACATCATGTGTGAGTTATCTAGAGAAGTGGAAAAAGCAGTCTGGACAGGCATTCTGCCGGAAGGAAATCAACATGGATTTACCTATGAGTTCATACGTTCAAAACTGCAGTCTTGAAGCAAAGTCCTTTCCCTGTGTTTAAGGAAGGGGAAAGGGTGAGCCAAAAGCAAGACATGTGATATCATGATCATGAGATCTTTAGGTCGAAGCAAACCGAATAGGTTTCGTTCTGCAGCAACTTCCACATCTCAACGCCGAGCCATTCAGCACCGGATAGCCTTGGCTTTTCTGCGCTTTGCTTTTTCCTTTTTAGCCATGCAGATACAGATGATGCAGCCGATGCAGCAGATGCAGCCACGCTTGGTGCTGCAGCAGGCTGTGCTCAAGCAGCCAGCGGTGCTGTCGCATGCGCGGCCAGCGCAGCCGTGGCTTGGACAGGTGCATCAGCTTGGTCAGTTGAATCCTGCGCGGCCCATGGCGATGCCAGTGGCGATGCCAGTGGCGATGCCAACGCCCATCGTGAAGGCCGTGGTCAAGCCCGTGGCCAGGCCATTACGTTGGGTTTATGCTGCCCCTATGCAGCGCAACCAAATCAACCAAGGACGCACCAATCAGGTGGTCCTCCGATGCCAAGAGCTTGTGGCGACGAAGGTGATGGCTCCAGAACAGAAGGAGCTTCCCAAGGAGCTTCCCAAGGAGCTTCCCAAGGAGCTTCCCAAGGAGCTTCCCAAGTTGGGGATGCCCCATCGACTTTTAAGTTTTTTGGGAATTTAGCCTCTTCCGGTTTTGTCAAGAGTCAAAATGATCAAAATGTTAATTTGTTATAATTTGTTCATATTTGTTCCAGTTGGTTTGCCTCCCACGCAAAGCAGGTGGTGTCCATGCAGGTGAAGCCACGGCGCAAAGAGCTCCCGCTGATTGAGGGTCAAGTCCCCAAAGATGCCGGTGTGGATGGCATGCACCCAATCGATTTCAAAGCGTTTTGGGAGCAGAGCCTCTTCAAGTTTTTGTCAAGTATATAATAGTTAATTTATGTTCATTTGTTCCAGTCGCCTTCGCCGCAAGCCTGCAAGCCTTGGGTTCCAAGAGATTCTCTCATGATCTCTCATGTTATTTTACCCCATGGGAGGTACAGTATGTATGGCATTGCTTTTGCATTGGTTTTGCATGTTTTGGTTTCACAAAATAAATCAAAATAATGCGGCTCTAGTGAGACTAAGCCCCAAGAATTTTAGAATTCTTTGGTGTGTCCAAGCTATTCAAAGCTTAGGAATCAGCAAAATATGATTGTGGTCGACCTGCGCGGGCAAGATCGAGCAAGCGGAGCAATTCCAGGCACGGCACACATCCCGGCCATGGATTTGCTGAAAGAGATCGGGACGTACGTGGAGAAGTTTCAGCACCAGCCGATTGTGGCATTTTTTTGCCAATATTCGGCGCATAGGGCTCCGACAGTGGCTTGATGCATTTGTAGCAATACACTGTTTTTGTTTTTGGTTTCAATTGGTTTACCACCCTTCAAAAGCATTCAAAAGCGACATTTTCCGGAGGGGAAAACCAAAGCAACAAGGTCGCCAACTTCTTCAGAAAGAGCTGCCCGTCCAAGCAGCGCGTCGTGGTGCTTGAAGGAGGCTTCAGGGGATGGGAGGCCCAGACCTCCCTATCCAGCAGAATGGAGACCGACAATGTCTCAGATGGCGTTGTGACCAGCTGGCCTTGAAGATTGGCCAGAATGTCTCGAAGGTCAACTATGAGCTCCATGACCAGCCACAAAAGTCGAATACCTGCCCAATCATTGTCTATGGCAATCACAAAGTGAAGTGGGGTAGAATCCGGGGGGGAGGTTGGTCTTGGGGAAGTAGTGCGAGACATCCCCGCCTTGGGGGGGTGCGCGAGGCTTGAAATACCTAGCATCAATTGCAGTCAGTATCGACCCCCCCCTTGGTCCCGAGGCCAACATTCTTCACCCACAAACGCTGAAGCCAGAGAACTGTAGAAAACAGAGTGGTCAGTCACGATTAGTCAAGGTTGGTCTGACATGGTGTCGAGTCTTTTTTTGGTTCCTTGTGGCGTTGTGGCTGACGGCCATCATAAGATCACAAGCAGCGCGCCATTTTGAGACGAAAGCAGATTCCCGGCTGAGGTGGACATTGCAATATCTACCGCTCCTCAGCCGAGTGCTTTCAGCTACCTGAGGCTCCAGACGGGGCCACGGCACTCGGAGGTTTGCCTTGGTCGGGCTGGCTGGGTGGTTTGAAGATGTTTCAAAATTGTTGCATATTTGACATGTCAATCATTTGAAGGATATGATATGATTATGTGCTTAATTAATCAATATTTGCTTAGTAACAGAGGCACTGCCTGTTGCATCTGTTGCGCCCAGCCCAAAAGCAGCCAGGGTATAGCGATGTGCCATGATCGACTAGTGCATACTCATGACATCTCATGACGATGGTGGTGATGATGATGGTGACGACGATGATGATCCTTTCAGGTTTAAGACGGGTTTGGCATGTTTTGCCAAGTTGAGTCTGATGCCAAGTATGAACTGCTATGCGTATGTACCCATGATGATGATGATGATGATGATGATGATGATGATGACGATGGATGATGGATGATGGATGATGGATGATAGATGACGATGACGATTGCGATTGCGATGACTTGCTATGATTTGCCGTTTTTTGCCAAGTAAAGTCTGACGCCAGGCAGCCTTGGCTTGGAGGCCTTACGTTTGGGACCTGAGGAAATGTCTGACTAAGACATCATGTGTGAGTTATCTAGAGAAGTGGAAAAAGCAGTCTGGACAGGCATTCTGCCGGAAGGAAATCAACATGGATTTACCTATGAGTTCATACGTTCAAAACTGCAGTCTTGAAGCAAAGTCCTTTCCCTGTGTTTAAGGAAGGGGAAAGGGTGAGCCAAAAGCAAGACATGTGATATCATGATCATGAGATCTTTAGGTCAAAGCAAACCGAATAGGTTTCGTTCTGCAGCAACTTCCACATCTCAACGCCGAGCCATTCAGCACCGGATAGCCTTGGCTTTTCTGCGCTTTGCTTTTTTCTTTTTAGCCATGCAGATGCAGATGATGCATCCGATGCAGCCGATGCAGCAGATGCAGCCAAGCTTGGTGCTGCAGCAGGCTGTGCTCAAGCAGCCAGCGGTGCTGTCGCATGCGCGGCCAGCGCAGCCGTGGCTTGGACAGGTGCATCAGCTTGGTCAGTTGAATCCTGCGCGGCCCATGGCGATGCCAGTGGCGATGCCAGTGGCGATGCCAACGCCCATCGTGAAGGCCGTGGTCAAGCCCGTGGCCAGGCCATTACGTTGGGTTTATGCTGCCCCTATGCAGCGCAACCAAATCAACCAAGGACGCACCAATCAGGTGGTCCTCCGATGCCAAGAGCTTGTGGCGACGAAGGTGATGGCTCCAGAACAGAAGGAGCTTCCCAAGGAGCTTCCCAAGGAGCTTCCCAAAGAGGCCAGGTGTGGAGGGGATGCCCCATCGACTTTTAAGTTTTCTGGGAATTTAGCCTCTTCCGGTTTTGTCAAGAGTCAAAATGATCAAAATGTTAATTTGTTCATATTTGTTCCAGTTGGTTTGCCTCCCACGCAAAGCAGGTGGTGTCCATGCAGGTGAAGCCACGGCGCAAAGAGCTCCCGCTGATTGAGGGTCAAGTCCCCAAAGACGCCGGTGTGGAGGGCATGCACCCAATCGATTTCAAAGCGTTTTGGGAGCAGAGCCTCTTCAAGTTTTTGTCAAGTACTCTGAGTTGTTAAAGTTGAACGATTTCAATGAAATGAGCGTCCCAGCTGCGCGCACGCAACTTCTAAAGTTGACCAATGTTGCGTCCAGCTTGTGTCTAGCAAGTTAGTTTTTTTCAGTTTTTGACTTTTTCGTGGGTTTTGCATTGCCAGCGACTTTGTGTGACTTCGTATTTAGGTTGTGTCTATACCATGTTTTCATGATCGCATGAAAGGACAATGAAAGGAAATGAGAGGAAATGAAAGGAGAATGAAAGGAACATGAAAGCAAATGAATCCAAAGGTCTGGGTTTTGATACCCTTTGACGTCGTTCGATACGTCGTTCGGACGTCGTTCGAAACAGCTACCCTCTGGTAAACTAACATAGCTATTGAAAATGGCCATTTATAGTGGATTTACCCATTAAAAATGGTGATTTTCCATAGTTACGTTAGTTTACCAGAGGGTAACCGTGTCCCTACAGAATCCAACAGGTAAAAGCAGCTTTTCTTGTGATCACTTGCAATCTACATGTGGTGAATCACTGGCGTCCCAATATGTCATGATTGTTTTTTGTTGTATTTAATACCACTTTGAAGATGTTTTGGGAGTTGCGTCCACAAGGTGTTTCCTCATCTTTCACACAGCAAAACTTGCCAAAACAGAGTTTGTCGTACATCGGCGTCCCATTGGGGTTGACCTTGCTTTTGGTCAACTTATTTGACTTCCTGATCCAACGGCGTCCCAATGAGATTTGACACAATTCTGTTAAATTGGTCGACTTTAACAGTTCGGAGTATATAATAGTTAATTTATGTTCATTTGTTCCAGTCGCCTTTGCCGCAAGCCTGCAAGCCTTGGGTTCCAAGAGATTCTCTCATGATCTCTCATGTTATTTTACCCCATGGGAGGTACAGTATGTATGGCATTGCTTTTGCATTGGTTTTGCATGTTTTGGTTTCACAAAATAAATCAAAATATTGCGGCTCTAGTGAGACCAAGCCCCAAGAATTTTAGAATTCTTTGCTGTGCCCAAGCTATTCAAAGCTTAGGAATCAGCAAAATATGATTGTGATCGACCTGCGCGGGCAAGACCGAGCAAGCGGAGCAATTCCAGGCACGGCACACATCCCGGCCATGGATTTGCTGAAAGAGATCGGGACGTACGTGGAGAAGTTTCAGCACCAGCCGATTGTGGCATTTTTTTGCCAATATTCGGCGCATAGGGCTCCGACAGTGGCTTGATGCATTTGTAGCAATACACTGTTTTTGTTTTTGGTTTCAATTGGTTTACCATGGTTGACCACCCTTCAAAAGCATTCAAAAGCGACATTTTCCGGAGGGGAAAACCAAAGCAACAAGGCCGCCAACTTCTTCAGAAAGAGCTGCCCGTCCAAGCAGCGCGTCGTGGTGCTTGAAGGAGGCTTCAGGGGATGGGAGGCCCATGACCTCCCTATCCAGCAGATGGAGACGACAATGTCTCAGATGGCGTGTGACCAGCTGGCCTTGAAGATTGGCCAGAATGTCTCGAAGGTCAACTGATGAGCTTTCATGACCAGCCACAGTCGAATACCTGCCCAATCATTGTCTATGGCAATCACAGTTGAATACCTGCAGTCAATTGCAGTCAGTATCACCCCTGGGTCGAGGCCAACATTGCTTCACCCACAAAACGCTGAAGCGCAGAGAACTGTAGAAAACAGAGTGGTCAGTCACGATTAGTCAAGGTTGGTCTGACATGGTGTCGAGTCTTTTTTTTGGTTCCTTGTGGCGTTGTGGCTGACGGCCATCATAAGATCACAAGCAGCGCGCCATTTTGAGACGAAAGCAGATTCCCGGCTGAGGTGGACATTGCAATATCATGCAAGATCTACCGCTCCTCAGCCGAGTGCTTTCAGCTACCTGAGGCCCCAGATGGGGCCACGGCACTCGGAGCTTTGCCTTGGTCGGGCTGGCTGGGTGGTTTGAAGATGTTTCAAATTTGTTGCATATTTGACATGTCAATCATTTGAAGATATTTGAAGGATAAGATTATGCTTAATCAATATTTGCTTAGTAACAGAGGTACTGCCTGTTGCATCTGCTGCGCCCAGTCCAAAAGCAGCCAGGGTATAGCGATGTGCCATGATCGACTAGTGCATACTCATGACATCTCATGAAAGTGGTGGTGATGATGATGGTGACGACGATGATGATCCTTTCAGGTTTAAGACGGGTTTGGCATGTTTTGCCAAGTTGAGTCTGATGCCAAGTATGAACTGCTATGCGTATGTACCCATGATCATGATGATGATGATGATGATGACGACGACGGCGATGACGATTGCGATTGCGATGACTTGCTATGATTTGCCGTTTTTTGCCAAGTAAAGTCTGACGCCAGGCAGCCTTGGCTTGGAGGCCTTACGTTTGGGACCTGAGGAAATGTCTGCCTAAGACATCATGTGTGAGTTATCTAGAGAAGTGGAAAAAGCATTCTGGACAGGCATTCTGCAAATAAAAATCAGCATGGATTTACCTATGAGTTCATAAGTTCAAAACTGCAGTCTTGAAGCAAAGTCCTTTCCCTGTGTTTAAGGAAGGGGAAAGGGTGAGCCAAAAGCAAGACATGTGATATCATGATTATGAGATCTTTAGGTCGAAGCAAACCGAATAGGTTTCGTTCTGTAGCAACTTCCACATCTCAACGCCGAGCCATTAGCACCGGATAGCCTTGGCTTTTCTGCGCTTTGCTTTTTCCTTTTTAGCCATGCAGATGCAGATGATGCAGCCGATGCAGCAGATGCAGCCACGCTTGGTGCTGCAGCAGGCTGTGCTCAAGCAGCCAGCGGTGCTGTCGCATGCGCGGCCAGCGCAGCCGTGGCTTGGACAAGTACATCAGCTTCGTCAGTTGAATCCTGCGCGGCCCATGGCGATGCCAGTGGCGATGCCAACGCCCATCGTGAAGGCCGTGGTCAAGCCGGTCAAGCTCGTGGGCAGGCCATTACGTTGGGTTTATGCTGCCCCTATGCAGCGCAACCAAATCAACCAAGGACGCACCAATCAGGTGGTCCTCCGATGCCAAGAGCTTGTGTCGATGAAGGTGATGGCTCCAGAACTGAAGGAGCTTCCCAAGGAGCTTCCCAAGGAGCTTCCCAAGGAGCTTCCCAAAGAGGCCGGGTGTGTTGGGGATTCCCCATCGACTTTTAAGTTCTTTGGGAATTTAGCCTCTTCCGGTTTTGTCAAGAGTCAAAATGATCAAAATGTTAATTAATTTGTTCATATTTGTTCCAGTTGGTTTTGCCTCCCACGCAAAGCAGGTGGTGTCCATGCAGGTGAAGCCACGGCGCAAAGAGCTCCCGCTGATTGAGGGTCAAGTCCCCAAAGACGCCGGTGTGGAGGGCATGCACCCAATCGATTTCAAAGCGTTTTGGGAGCAGAGCCTCTTCAAGTTTTTGTCAAGTATACAGTTTGCAATAGTTAATTTATGTTCATTTGTTCCAGTCGCCTTTGCCGCAAGCCTGCAAGCCTTGGGTTCCAAGAGATTCTCTCATGATCTCTCATGTTATTTTACCCCATGGGAGGTACAGTTGGTTTTGCATTGGTTTTGCATTGGTTTTACATGTTTTGGTTTTACAAAATAAATCAAAATAATGCGGCTCTAGTGAGACCAAGCCCCAAGAATTTTAGAATTCTTTGGTGTGCCCAAGCTATTCAAAGCTTAGGAATCAGCAAAATATGATTGTGGTCGACCTGCGCGGGCAAGATCGAGCAAGCGGAGCAATTCCAGGCACGGCACACATCCCGGCCATGGATTTGCTCAAGGAGATCGGGGCGTACGTGGAGAAGTTTCGGCACCAGCCGATTGTGGCATTTTTTTGCCAATATTCGGCGCATAGGGCTCCGACGGTGGCTGGATGCATTTTTCGCATTTTTTTGCAATACACTGTTTTTGTTTTCCATGGTTGACCACCCTTCAAAAGCATTCAAGAGCGACATTTTCCGGAGGGGAAAACCAAAGCAACACGGTCGCCAACTTCTTCAGAAAGAGCTGCCCGTCCAAGCAGCGCGTCGTGGTGCTTGAAGGAGGCTTCAGGGGATGGGAGGCCCATGACCTCCCTATCCAGCAGATGGAGACGACAATGTCTCAGATGGCGTGTGACCAGCTGGCCCTGAAGATCGGGAAGGATGTCTCGAAGGTCAACTGATGATCTTTCATGACCAGCCACAGTCGAATACCTGCCGGTATTGTGATGTGAAATTGTCAGTATCACCCCTTGGTCGAGGCCAACATTGCTTCGCCGGGAAAACGCTGAAGCGCACTGAACAGAGAAAAAATCAGAGTGGTCATGGTTATATAGTCATGGTTAGAGTCAATGCTGCTCAATGCTGATCTCGAATGGTGTCGATTTTCTTTTGAAGCTTGTGACGTTGTGGCTGAGGGCCTAAGTAGCATCCCGTTTGAGACGAAACCATTTTTGGATCCAGTTTGATTGCCAGCTGAGGTGGGCATATCTTTGCAATATCTACCACTCCTCAGCCGAGTGCTTTGAGCTACCTGAGGCTCCAGACGGGGCAGCAGCACTCGGAGGTTGCTTTGGTCGGGCTGGCTGGGTGGTTTGAAGATGTTTCAAATTGTTTCAAATTTGTTGCAATCTTCATGTTTAATGTATTTTAATGTACAGTTTCCATGATATTTACTTCCTAACAGAAGTTCTGCCTTTTGCACCCAACAGCCCGATAGCACGTAGGATAGGCAGGCTATACCGATGTGCTATGATGGTATAGTGATGTGCCTTGATCCACTGCTAGTTACTCATGACATTTCATGATGATGATGATGATGATGATGATGGTGATGATGATGATGATGAAGATGATTATTTTATAAGGCTTAGACATGCTTAGACTATCTGTCTCAGACTGATTTGCAATCCTTTGGCCAAGTCGAGTCTGATGCCAGGTCCTTGGTTTGGTGGCGTTACGTTTGGGACCTGAGGACACGGCTGCCAAAACTGAGTTGACCTAGATAAGTCCGGTAATTTAAGTAGAGTTAAGTATGGGGTAAGTGGGAAAAGCACTCTGAAGAAACAAAATCAGCATGGATCTACCGTAGTTCAGAAGTTGATAGCTGCAGTTTTGAAGCAAAGTCATCTCTTTATTCCGCTTGCATGTAGGGAAGGGGAAAGGGTGAGCCAAAAAGCAAGACACTGAGACATTGTGAGATCTTCAGGTCAAAGTAGTGCTGCAGGTTTCCAGATCTCAGCACCGAGCCATTTAGCCTCGAATGCAGCCTGTTACAGTACTAATTATTGCATTTGCATTCCATTCTTTCCACTTCTTTCAATTATAGTCAATTAATTAATATTAATTATATATACCTTCCGGCACGAAATGATCAGTATCTCAGTATCACCCCTTGGTCGAGGCCAACATTGCTTCGCCCACAAAAAACTGAAGCGCAGAGAAAATTGTAGAAAAAGCAGAGTGGCCAGTCATGGTTAGTCAAAGTTGGTTTTTAATAGTCTCGAGTCTTTTCTTTGGTCCCTTGCGGCCTTGTGACTGAGGGCCACCCAGCAGTCCCCATTGTGCCAGCTGAGGTGGACATGTCCTTGCCCGTAGAGGTCGTGATGGCGATATCTACCTACCTGAGGCTCCAGACGGGGCGGTGGTATTTGGAGGTTTCTTTGATAGGACTGCCTGAGTTGTTTGAAGATGTTTCAGGACAGTTGCAAGATTTGTCAAACTTTTTCCATATATTAGTTTTACATTTTACATCATTTTACTTCGTAGCAGGGGTCTTGCTATTTTGCACCCCGCTCAAAAGCAGCTATAGGGTACAGCGATGTACCATGATCAACTGCTAGCGCACACTCATGACATCTCATGACAATGGTGATGGTGTTCTTAATGAGGACCATGACTCATGACGACAACGATGATGATCATCATCATGATGCTGACCGTTTCAGGCTTAGAATGATTTGCTGGTCTGCCATTTTTTTTGCCACGTTGAGTCTGACACCAGGCGGCCTTGGCTTGGTGGCGTTTGGTTTGGGGCCTGCAGCTGAGGAAATAGCTGCCTAAGATGATCTGTGAGTTGAGCTATAGATTAGATCAATTCGAAAAACACACTTCAGGAAGGAAATTTGTATTTTTCGACAAGGTTCTATTGTTGTTTCATGCATGGGTTTGTTCCTGGAGTTCGTAGCTACAATTTGTTTAGTGTTTTGAAGCGAAGTCCTTTCCTCATCATCCTATATAATCCGTTCCTTGCCTTTAGGGAATGGGAAAGGGTCAGCCAAAAAGCAAGACATGAGACATCCCGAGATCTTCAGGTCGAAGCAAGTGCTGCAGGTTTCCACATCTCAACGCCGAGCCATTCAGCTTCGAGTCTGCATCGTGTTAGATTGTGTTGCGTTCTTTCCCGAATGCAGATGCAGCAGAAGAGGCAGCCACGCTTGGTGCTGCGGCAGGCCGTGGTCAGGCAGCCAGTGGTGCCGTCGCATGCGCGGCCAGCGCAGCCGTGGCTTGGACAGGTGCATCAGCTTGGTCAGTTGAAT